GGATGAAGAGGGAATGATCTTATTTCAGTTGATGCATATTGTGCATCTTCTTATTATCACTGAGGCAAAATATGTTCCATCAGCCTACATCCGTTTCAATTTTATGCTCCTATATTGTTCTAAAATCGACTGAGGTGATTCTTTATTTTATGCTCTTTGCCTCCTGGTCTTTTTATACTTACAGAGGCTCAGCCCACCCCTGACGTCTACCAAGGAGAGGTCATGGATATGCTGAAGGAGTTCACAAAAAACCGCAATCATGAACAGAGGCTGGATGCGCCCAGCTTGGAGTACTTGGAGAAAGAAAACCAGTGAGGTCTTTGGCCTGCAAGGCCTTTTACAGAGACTCATTAAATGAGGGTTTCGGAGTGAATGTGAGTGTAATAAATCTTTACAGAAATGCTTCAGAAGTTGAAACTTGCTCTGAATATATTGTATTATAAATGTGTGATTCAGTGATGTATATTCAAATTCCTAGGTTTGCTAGAGGCTTACTGAAGAAGCCACCTTTGACTAATGGCTGCAAGATGATTTGGAAATCAATTTTACTGTGCCTATTATTGACATTGTGGGTTATTTAATAAATGTTAATGCTTGTCTCTTTGCATTGCTGTGTCATTCATGACTGTGATTGTGCCTATAATGCCACGGTATTGGATCACGTGACTGCAGGAAGCCATGACTGACAATATAGACACTATTGTTACATAAGGAAGGTTGTGCAGCCTGCAGTGTGGGTTTACAGACACCAGAGGGAAGCAGATCCCTTCAGTTTCAGTGTCAAATTCAAGCTCCGGCTGATTTCAGTGTGGCGAATGGCTCGCCTGAAACCACACATATCTCACATACCTTATTTTTAATGCAGGATGCAATGTGAAAATATAAGCTATCTAAATAAATTACAATTACATTTAAGCTGTGTATTTTTAAGCCTTTATTTACAGTAAAAATACTTTCTGTCAAGCTGAGTTTTGCAATCAAACCACATATATTATTGGTTAAAACCAAAAAAAGGTTGGGTTTTTTTTGTCTCCCCTTCTAGTAGATATGCATGTATTGACTAAGGGGAACATTTTTTTTTTGTCCAGTTATGTGTCATGTCTGTCCAGTGGAACCTTGTACTGAGTGCAGGAGGGAAATGCCCTCTGGCCAGGAGATGTGCACAGACTCTAAACAGATGACAAGCCCTCCTGTGTACGTCCATCGAATATTAATGCACACATGACTTGCAGCCAAGGTGTTACACAAACAAGGCAGACATGAGACTGAGGCAAATATATTCTCCTTTAATAGGGGAGAATATGTTGAGGAAGAATGACCTTCACTTGTTACATTGTCAGCTTTTCCTAAAATAGACCGAGATGATGTCAGAAGGGTTCCCCTCTGTGTGGTTTTTTTCCGTTTCACTGCCATCTGTCTCAGAGCTTACCTTTATTGCGAATGGAAATTAACCAATACTTCAACCATGAAGTTTATTTCTTTTATCCATTTCAGAGGAAAGCTAAACTAGTATGCTACATACACTTTTTGCAGTGGGTGTAAAGGCGATCAAGTGTTCACTCCCCGAAAAGGTTGTGTTTGAACCTTCTGATTGGCTGAGGTTTGTATGTGCAGAATTATTTGCATGTTCTCCTTGTGCTTTTAAGGCTTTCTGTGCACATTTCAAAAACATCCATGTTAGATTTACCAGTTATTATGTTTACTCTGAAGTGATCAATTCATGGTGCACCCTGACTCTTGCCTTGGGTAAGCATGGGTATCTATTTAACCAACGACATGGACAGATATATATATATATATATATATATATTATATTATATATATATATATATATATAAAGACTTTTTGGGTTCTTTTTGTTCTTTTCTTAGTTTAATGCTTGTCAAAAAATGTTAAATTATGTAAGAACATGGAAAAAAGTCCAAAGACAAGGAAAAAAGTTTATAGCAGTAACTAGATCCACCGTGACTGGCTCTAACAATAAAAGACAGCCTACACGTGATTACTCAATCTAATAGCAATTTCAATGTGATTGATAATATAACGTAATAATATGAATGACACTGGGGTCTTTTTCTTATAAAACAGCTCCTTTTACATTCATTATTAAAGTTTATTATGCACCTAATACATGTGCATTAAATACTATACTTAAGAAACCATTAAAATCATTTTACATTGTCACTTACACATAAATGACCTCAATATTTTTATCACCATTGCAGCCGAGAGACCTGAATGTGATCCACTGTTGGTGTCACAATTCCTTGCCTTAAAAGAAAGAATAACACCTTAAGATCCCCCATGCAGGGGAAGCACAATTCAGGTCTTTATTGCTTTGAGGCTTGTTTAGAGTGTATATTCATCAGTTGCCCACACACACACCCACTGTGTCTATCTGTAGCCCGCCGCTCCTGTCATCCTCCACTGCTGCTTCCCGTGTCGTGACAGCTCTCTGTTTTATCCTCAGCACTGCCGTCACCCTCTGCTCCCCTGGAATTTCAATCTCATGTGCTTTTGTTTCCTTATTCCACCAGCACCACCTGCAGCAGCACCCCTAGTGCGCCTCTTGTCTTCCAATGCCTGCTGGAGAGCTGTGCGCATAAGAAAAGTGTCGAGCGAGGAGGCATGCCCGGTTTTATTCTGAAGACGGAAGTGTTAGATAAGTTGGTAAATTGAACACCCTCTGTCATCATTACATGCATGCACACTTGCAGTGAGACAGTTTAGTGTGTAGGAGGCAGAGCAGGCAATTTGCTTAATTCTAGAGATCAGTGCCGATTCTAAAGATCCATGTTAATTACCCTTAAAACCAAGCCTCTTTTTTGTTGTTGTTGTTGTTTGCCTGAGCTGAAGGAAGAGGAAAGCAGGGAGCAAATGTGATTTTATGTATTTCCACCATTGGATGAATTAACTGAAATTTTATCTGCTGATATGTGTATTTGGAATTAAGCTTCTACACAGAGGTGGATGGAATCAACACCCAAAACTCTTTAGACATCTTTGGACGAAAACTGCACATTAAGAGCTCTTTGCAAACAGACCTCTGTTACGTTAGATAGCATTTTGATGTTGGTTGGGTAGCCAACCAGCCACATTGTTTGTGTTATTTTACTGACATAGATAATCATATTGCAAACCTTTAGGTTGGTCTTGCATAGAACAATTTAATTTATGGTACTCCCCTTCAAGCTAGAGCTACATGCGTATTATTTTCATACATAATGTTCTTCAGACCAGCTACTTTTTTTCTCAAACTTGAAGTACATAAAACAGACAATACTTCTGTAATTTTGATTAAATTGGATTATGAATGCATTCCATTTTCTTAACTGGTTATTCAGCTTAGAGTCACTGAGGAGCACACAAGGCAGCACACAATCACGTGGCAAATGTCATTTTTTGTAACAAATTTGTCACATGGTTCAATAAATTCTCCATTTTCAAAAAGTTAAATCTTTCTGGCAATGAGTTCATTTTCAGGCTTTAAGGGGTTAATTGACTTTGAAACATGGTACCGTTTTTGGTGCTGGACGGGCTAGTCTGAGCATTTCATAGACTGCTTATCTCCTGGGATTTTCCCACACCAACGTCTCTGGGGGTTTACAGCGGATGGTCTAAAAACATTTTGAAAAATATTCAGAAAGCCGAAGATCTCTGAATAAAAAAGGCCTTGTTGATGCCAGAGGTCAGAGGAGAATGGACATACTGCTTAGAAGGCAACAGTAGCTCAAAAAAGCACTCATTAAAACCAGTGTATGCAGAAGAGCATCTCTGAATGCACATGTTGAACCTTGAAGCAGATTGGCTACAGCAGGTGTAATTCCTGCCTGCTAAGAACAGGAATCTCAGGCTACAAGTCAGATGGGCTCATCAAAACTGTACAACAGAAGGTTGGAAAAATGTTGCCTGGCCTTTTGAGTCTTGATTTCTGCTCTGATATTCAGATGGGTCAGCATATGGCAACAACATAAAGGCATTTTCTTGGCACCAACACCATAGCCTAGAAGAGTTGCTGAGCATATCCATTCCATTATATCCACACTGTATCCATCTTCTGACGGATGCTGCCAGCAGGATAACACATCACAACACTAAGCTTAAAACATCTCAAATTTGTTTCTTGAACATGACTTAAATGGCTTCGACAATAACCAGATCACCATCAATAGAGCGTCTTTGGGATGTGGTGGAACTGGAGACCCACATCATGGATGTGCAGCCAACATATCTGCAGCAACTGTGTAATGTTATCATGCCAACATGGACCAAAATTTTTAAGTAATGTTCACAGCGCCTTGTTCAATCTATGCCACAAAGACAAGGCAGTTATAAAAGCTAAGGTCCAACACACTACTGGCAAGAAGTGGCCATGGATCTCAGGGGTCTAGCCCCACCTAAAAGAGTGACTACACCCCCTCAGCTGCATTTTACTGATGCACTTCAACTATAAGTTACACTAATTCATACAATTTGGTAATGAAAACCTGAAATATCACAGATAAGTTACTGTAATGTGAGCACAGTAGTTCTGCATGAGTTGAGGTAATCAGCACGACTCTGAGGAGGACACTGAGCAGATATTGAGAACTAGTTTCAAAGCACGACTCTACTGAAAAACTGCGAAACAAATGTAAATGTGTTGATGACACTGTGCGCTCACAATCATCCGTCCTACTGTGTTGAGAAAAAGTCTCTATTGTTTGTCTCCCCCTTTGCCTCTGCAATCTAAGATAGATATTTTTGCACTTTTAGAGTTGTGGCTAAATGTCTCCATGACTGTACTATCATATATAGCTGTCCTGAGCCAAATGCCTCCCCCAGTGTCAAAGTTGGTTGCCCATCCAGCACGTATGGTCTGCTCCTGACCCTGGTAGCCAGTAATCAAAAACTTAAAATAAAGACTGAATTAACTATTAGTGTGAAATACACGTGTGAGTTAAAGTAATATAAATAAAAGAAAATATGAAAAATTCATACAATACCAGACCAGAAGTATCTTTGTTTTATATATACATTTATATCATTATATACACTGTACAGATTTCAAAAAAATAAATGGTCAATATTTAACATTGTGCACCCCACGGATGTGTAACTACAAAGAGAAAGGGAGTGAAACAGGGGGGTTTGTGATATCAAGGATAGATATCTACAACCCCATTAGTAATGATGGTTCTTTTTCTCTTTTTTTCTCCATACAGAACATTTTCACAATCATTTTATACAGTCAGTATATAAATTAAAATGTTGCTGATTAACCTCTCTTTGTCTCAAGCAGTCCCTAAAGAGAATGCCCTAAAACAGAAATGCGAGCTTGTCCAGTAAACTTTACCAGTGTTTGGTTTTTGGCCAGTGACGAGTGTAGAAGACAATTTTAGCTCGATTTCTTAAAAAAATGTATCAAACCCTGACTGATCTTTAACCAATATTTAAATTGCATTGATTGACTTTCACTAAGCCTTTGGAATGTAATGCTTTGTCAGCAGGGCAGTACATCAGGACAGACAGATGAATATGAGAGGTGGTTATTTTGGGATGCTCCAAGGCTCTGCTCTGACCTGAGATGTAGCTAACAGTGAAGCAAAGAGGTGATGATTATCTCCTGTCTCACCTTTTTCCCCCCCTCCTCCCTTCCTGACACTTGGAGAGGGAGCGCATATGGTGAAGAGCAAGGCGTGACGGGGTTCATAAGGCACACACAGAATACTTTGTGCCAGAAAGCATGTGTGCACAATGGGGGTGTTTTGAGGGAGCATCAGCTGTGACGTGAAGGAGCAACCCTTCGTTTTTTGGCCTTGGTGAATTAGATTGGTCCACTTAGAGAGGCGAGATAGGGCATAGAGGAAAAACGTCTTCAGCTGCTTTTGTTTAAACTGAAAATCTGGTGTATGGCGGTCAAATGGAGCAACTTTTATCTGTGGTTGTTGTAAAGCTTTTTTCTTGTGACCTTCACTCTCAGCTCATGTATAAGAGATCTAAATGTCCTCCAAACATGAGGAAAATAAGCCTGCTGTGAAGAGAGGTTTGTTCCAGCATCATCGTCAACAAGTGCAGTGATTCTTCAAGAAGTGACAACTTAAAAAAAAGAAGAAAAGAACATACTTCTCTGTACAGCTGGATTCATACAGAATAAAAACAGCAAAGAATGCTGTTCAGTATTAAACTGGCAAAATAGAACTCAGTGCAGATATACACACAGGGACTCACAGTAAATACAATCACACAAACATAAGTTCAAATACTGACATTCAACCACGGTGCAAACACACACACATACATCCAGTAGACAAAAAACAAACAGTGGAATGTAAAAAGACTTTTCCCAACCCCAGGTGTTATTACTCTCATTTGTTTCCATTCATCCCAACAGCTCGTGTCTGTACAGGACTTGAGGGAGGTCGCATTCAGGCAGCAAAGATGTTTAAAAAAAAATAACTAAATAAAGACAAACTCTGACTTTACATTCCCAGTTCTCGTTTCAAACAGAAAGGTGACAGGGCTTTCTCAACTGCAGCTCCACTCCCTGTGTCCGTTACAAATCCTCCAAATGCTGCTGTCTTTAAGTCTAGATTAACGACCCAGTTGTAGTCCATGATATTCCTGGGCTCTTAATCTCTTGACAACGTCTGCAACTTATGGCTGCAGTCTTATTTTGTATTTTGGGCATATTTGTAATTTGTAATCTTGTAACAGTTTATAAACTTTTGATTTCATGTGATTTCTTCTCATATTTTACTGCATGTATTCATAAATTGTCAGTTCATCCCAAAAAAAGAGTCTAAATGTTCATGGTCAACCTTGAAAACACAAATCTCAACTATATAAATACATTTTTAAAAAACCCTCAAGGTCTGCTTTCTTTTGACTACTACTGACTATTACTCATGGCTGCCCAGAGCAGTTTGCTCAGGCGGAGCCTGCACATACAATCTGAGATTTCTTGAGAGCACAAAGTGGCATCGCACCAAAACAGCCAGTTTTAAGTTACTACTGTAAGAAATATTTTTCTTGTAGTTTCTGGTCACTGCCACTGATGTACTGGACTTAGAGAAACTTGCTGGTATTGCATATTGGTGCAATGCCATGGTGTAGGATTGGGCACTTTATCACCATGAGATCTTGGAGATGGTTAAAAAAACAGCAGTAAAAAGCTAGAAAGAGGACATAAGATCTCAAAAAATGTTTTTCCAATCTATCACTAGTGTTATCAAGCCATGCATTAACGGTTGGCTGCTGTGGTACCACAGCAGTGAAATGTGATGGAAAAAAGTGAAATTCTAGTTGTAGGACTCAATATTTTCTTATAAACTCGGAAAACGTAGTGGTAAAAAAAAGAAAAAGAAAAAAAGAAAAAAGGTTTAAATATCAGGACATAAAAAACATAATCTGTCCTAGCAGGTCTTACAATGAGGTAAATACAACCTCACATGAAGTATAAAACATACTACACAGTCTCATTTTTTAATTCAAGAAACATTAAGCCAAAATGCCAAAACAGTGTGTGTGAAAAACTATGTGCACCTTAGATGTTTGGTCATAGCGCCACATTTGGAGAAACCCAAACACAGCAGATCAGCACAAACATCAACTGTCAAGCACGGTGGTGGAGGGGTGATGATTTGGGCTTGCAGCCACAGGACCTGGACACCTTGCAGTTATTTATCAAACTATTCTAGAGTCAAATGTGAGGCGATTTGTTTGACAACTAAAGCCTGGCTGCAATAATATCCCAAGCACAGCAGCAAATCTACAACATTGCAGAAAAGCTAAAAATTAAGGTGTTGCAAAGGCCCAGTCAAATTCCAGCTCTTAACCTCAAGTTATTGCTGCTAAAGGCGGTTCGATAAGCTTTCTACACACTATTTCTTCATTTTGGCTTAGTTTCAGTTAAACTAATGTGTTGTTGTGCATCTCAGGTTGTATTTACCACATGTCAATAACTTTTTATTATGTGCTGGTATGTAAAACTTTAGAACTGAGAAAGGGTGTACCTTTGCTTTACCATGTCTATATGTCGTCAACAATTTGCACAGATTGTTTTCTGCTCTCAAAGAAAACCATTTACATTGGGGTTTCTGGACTATATCCATTTACCAAAACACAACAACGTTAAAAATCAAAGTGGTAAATTGTTTGACAATGAAATCCTCTGTTATATATTTCCGGCAGTTAGTCTGATTTTCTGAGCTCAAATCTTTTACATGTGAAACTGAAACTAGCTGTCTTTTTTGAGACCACTAAAGGGCGTGTTAGAAAGTTGTGTATGTGTTTTGGACAGACTGACACTAACTTCAGTGACCTCCACCCACATGTTCAGCTAATCTCATTTTTTGTCATTGTTATCAAGGGCAGTTTGGTTTTCGACAATATTTTTTGTTCAGCCGTGCAAATCTAAAATATTTCCTCCCTCACACACACACACACACACACACACACACACACACACACACACACTCGCACACACACTCGCACACGCACACACACGCATTATCCCCACACTTCCACACTCATGGAAGCTGCTTTTTGCTTATTTTCTGGAAGAACAGGTTGATTCTCTAAGTTCTTTCGAAACAAAACTCATTAAATAAATAAATAAAACACAACATTAATCACTTTACTCTTTTTTTCTGTCCATCGGGAGTTAAAGAAAATAGGAAAGCAGTTTGACACTTGCCCCTTTTAGACCAGTGCTAAATGTTCATGTTCATATCCTTTTTTTCTTATTTTTTTCTTGACGATCTTCATTTGGGGTTACAGCACATCACCCACAGCACGCACAGACGACAAAGGGTTCCAGCCAAGGGAGAATTATTACAGTGGTAGAAGGAGGAGGAGGAGTGAAGAGTGAAAAACATGATGAGTGACAGAGTCCAGTTCCTGTCCATTTTAAATACAGCCCATCGCTCTTCTGTTGCCTGTGCCGCTTTTCCTGATTTTTTTTTTAGGCATTTTAAAGGAATGTCGGAAGAGAGACAGAAACACAGAAGGATTCAAACAATCAAGCAAACAATCAAACAAACACACTGCCACAGCGGATGGTTGGAATGCCTGTTTGATCCATTTTTGGTTGGTAGTTTGTAATTACGGGTGTTAAGAGGTACTGCTCTGATGTAAAACATTAGGGAAACGTGGTGGAAGAAAAAAAAAAGAGAAAAAAAAGAAAGATGGAACAAGGAGAGCGTATGACATCAAAGACATTTTTAAGTTCAGACAAACGGATGAGACAGGGTCAGGCGGGAATCAGATCTTGACAGGGGTGAAATTTAAGGAAGGTGTCATGAGAACTGAAGGCGAGGAATATCAAAGAGGCCTGAGAACAAAGAGATGATAGATGGTCTGAAGCCCAACAGTGCATTTAGGTAGTAGGGGATATGTGCCGAGGGCAGGGGCAGGGTGGGGGGATTCTTCAGGGGAAAACAATGTAGGCAGGTGGGCTGCTGGGTCCTTCAGGCCTTAAGAGCATGCCACTGGGCCACGGCAGTGCGAGGATGACCCATCATGTCTTTCCAGTGTTTTACCTCTGCAGGGCCACTCTTCCATGAAAGATAAATCTGTGAGGAAGAGACAGTCACTGTAACTTCTATACAGCCACACAGAGATAGATGTTATTTGTAAAGAATGCTCCCAATAAAACAGCAGAGTATTAAGAGAAAAAAACTGTGACTCTTAAGTGTAGCCCTTTCACCACTAAGCCTGCTGCTCTAATTGGAATTTAACTCAAATCCAGAGCAGAAAAAAAGCCATTAGAGCAAGAGATTTCACCCAGTGAAAAACTCAGAGAAAGGCTAATGCTGTTACTAATAGGATCAAACACAGACTCGTCTGCAAGCGATTCTAATGTAGCAAGAAACTCCTGGATTCCACATGAAAAATTGTTCACTTTTTCATTGTTCTCTATTCTACGAAGCTATTCTAATAATAGGCAACTGCGGCGTGAAAGAAAATAATATATGTGGTTAGAATGGGAATACATATAGTACCTGTAAATATTGTAGATGTGTATGAAAGCCTTATAAAGTAAATGCTCTTCCCTGCTGTACACAGCGTATAGATTTTTTTTTAAGTGCCTGATGAAACAAAGATTTGATTTAAGCTTTGGTGTATTCCATTTTTATTCTCCTAATACATATACCGTATGTTTATTTATAGAAAAGCTGGTGTTTGGTTTTAAAAACAAGCAAATCATTCACTCTGCACAGGGAAAAAAAGGAGTTATTTTGGTTACTGTTAAGTCTGATATCTGAAGCAGTTATGGGATAAAAGAAACTGTGGTTTTATGGGATATTAAAATCCTGACAAATCCCACAAGTTTCGAGAAAAGAACAATCTAATTTGGTAGTAATTACAACCGAAGCAGAAACTGTTAAATTGCATGTCCAGTGAATTAATTCATATTAATTGTTGAGCAAGCGTAACACAGACTTGTTCAGTCAGAGCACCCAATGTGACTTTGTCTACAGGCAGCAGTACAAAGGAATACATAAACAATGGTCTGCAAAACTCCTTGGGCCAACCCTCAAATTTTTATATTTTGCTTGGAAAATGAGAAATAGGTGCAGTGATTTGTTGAAGCAGGTGTAAATATACACGAAAATACAGCATGTAAAGTAAAAACAGAGTTTGTACAACGGGCTTGAAAATCAATATTTGGTGTGACCACTTTTATTCTTCAACACAGCCTGAACTCTTTTAGGCAGCTTTCTTGTAATTCCTTTAAGTAGTCTTCAGCAATAGTTCTCCAGGCTTGTTGAAGGACATTCAAAGCTCTTTTTTTTGGATGTTGGCCGTTTGACCAGTTTTCTCATATTTTTTTGAGGACACACTCAACACCATGCTGCGATATGGCAAGCTTACAGCAAATAGCTCTTTTGGAATTACCTTGTTGGTCAAAAGATGCAATATTATACTGTCAAATTGTGTTACTTTTGGCATTTTTGTAGATTCAACTAAAGAAATGGGAACATATTATGTATGTTTTTGCGACAGGCAGCTAGTAACAAAAAAGGATACAAATTTATAGTTGGTTCTTTGTTAAATTTTCTGTCATGTGTAGACACAGCACTGGTTAATCCCCTCAAGTTATTTGCCTGCTTGTGTGTGTGTGTGAAGGGCAGGACTGAAAATGTGTGGAAAAAGCAGCCAATGTCCAAAAACAACATTTGAAAGATCTACAGAAACCCTGGAGAACTGTTCTTTAAGACCACTTTAAAAAGTCACAAGAAACTCCAAGATTCCTTGTTTGCAAAATATAAAGAAATGAGGGGTGGCTTAAGACCTTTGCACAGTACTGGGTTCATATTTGCCGTTTAAAGTAAAGTACATCTACATGTCTTTGTGTCTAAAAGAAGCTGCAATTTATTAGATTTTTTTCCCCAGAAAGCATTAAAACTACGAAAAATTATAGGAAACTAAAAGATGCAGATAAGAAGTTTAAAATGTTTAATCACATTGTAACAGAAATACATTAATTTTTCTCAGAGTTGATCAGCTAATTCAACAAAGAAATTCAGGGGATATTCCGGTTAAAGCTGGAAAGGTTTAAACTCACCATCTGCATTTAGCCAAAACAGTAAATGTGCAGTTTGCTGACTGTGTGTATCTCCATCTGCCTCTGTGCCATTCCTAAATGTTGTAGTATTAAGTCTAAATAAAGCACACTTTTACTTTCACACTTAAAATTAGCTGCTTGTTGTTTGCTGCATATGAGTTCATTTACAGCACAGGGGAATGAACTGCATGTTCCAGCAGGGGTCAGTAGAGACTGGCTCACTGATCATCTGCTGATGGTCTGACAGACAGTCAGAAAAACACAGAGGAAGAGAGAAAAAAAGAGGAGGAAGAAGAAGAAGAGAGGAAGAGGCGAAGAAGAGAAGTGGGAAGGAGATACCTTCCCAATGACATCATTGCGGCTGAGTCTGTCCTTGTCCATGACGGTGATAATTATGGTGGTCTCCCTCAGCACGTGGGCAGGCACGTCAAAGGGGAAGGACTCGTTGAAAACAGGGTTCAGACAGCGCTTCATTACCACCGTCTTCTTCTTCTCCACACGCTTGTCCTTGTGCATCAACCACACTTTTACGTAGGGGTCTGAGGAGAGGGAAATGTGCCGGTTATGAAGCAATATAGCATTCATGAATTACCAGAATTGGAGATTTAATGAGAACAAAAAAACAACAACAAAAAACCAAAAATGAAATATAAACACGCTATTTTCTCATTTTCTGTTGTTGGAATGTAAAAATGTATTGAAGAAAGGAAGATGAGGGAGTATCTATACCAGAAGTGCCTCCAATGTCCATGGCTTTGAGGTTGCGGGCTTTGATGATGCTCACAGTGATGGTGTTGGCTGTGGGGTTGTAACACAGAGACACCAACAGATCCCCTCGACTTCCCTGGAAAAAAACCATAGACAATAACAAAAACAATAACAAACTGTTCATTTTTAATTGCCTCATTGCATTGCTCTCCATTCTGTCACTCATCCTATGTTTCCTTTGCTTGCCTGTGTTTCCTTCATCTACCTGTCAGCCTCTCCATATTCTCTATCCCTTCTCCCTCTAGCATGCTGCTACATCTCCCATGGGAGCATCACGGCAGCCAGGAATGACATCACCCGCTACATTCTGTCCCATCTTCTCTTTCTCTTCATCTTGCCCCCTCCCTTCCTGTCTATCTTCTTTTCCTCTACTCAGCCTCTTTCCTTCTTACTCACACTGCCATCGCTACATGGTTTCAGCTCCTTCCAGAAAGTCTGCATGTTGGCTAGGTCCAGCTTGTTGAGTGGAATGGACACCTCTCCTATTGGGTCGTTCCTGCTGAAGCGATCGTAGTCAAGAACCTGGAGGTACAGGGTCCTCTGAACCACCTTCTCATAGGGGAACCCTGAGAAAGAGATTCACACACGATAGTCTTAATATGTTACAGTGATTCAGACAGAAATGACTGCCTGCATATGCTGTGAATGTGTTTAAGGAAAGGCTTCCTGATCACACCTTCGAAAAGGAAGGTCTCGTTCCAGTGGGGGTTTAGATTCTTCCTCTTCACTTTTGTCTCCAGTTTGTGCTTCTTGTCTGGCAGCAGGTATAGTTTGACAAATGGGTCAGAGGTGCCAGAAAAGTCCTTAGCTGGCAAATCCTGGCCTTTGAGAATTTTCACAGTGAGGGTGGAGTCTTGAAAACTGTATCCAACACTGAACTGAATACGACCCAGCTTTTCACACACTGGACCCTCATGTTCTTCTTCCTCTGAACCTGGTGACAGCTGACAGAACAAGAGGAGATAAGCAGGGCATTATTTATTTTTATTCAACTCTGTTATCTTATTGGAGGATTTACAGCACTGGGAAAAGTCTTTAATCATATTCATTTATTAAATAAATAATGAATAAATAAATACACTTTCTTGAAATGCTGATTTCTATTCCCCTAGCCACACCCAGGCCTGCTTACTGCCAGACCTGTTTGACCAAAGAATCACTTGAATAGAGTCCATCTGACAAAGTGAAGTAGGCTAAAAGATGCGAAAAAGTTCACTGACATCTATGACTCTGGAAAGGGTTACAAGGCCATTTCTAAGGCTTTGAGACCCCAGTGAACCATAGTGAGAGCCATTATCAACAAGAATGGAGAAAACATGGGGTGGTGGTGAATGTTCCCAGGAGTCCAGGCCTACCAAAATTACCCCAAGAGCGCACTGACGACTCATCCAGGAGGCCACAAAAGAATCCAAACAACATCTGAACTGCAGGCCTCACTCACCTCAGTTAAGGTCAGAGTTCTTGATTCAACAATGAGAAAGAGACTGGGCAAAAACGGCATCCATGGGAGAGTTCCAAGGAGAAAACCACTGCTGACCAAGAAGAACACCAAGTTTGAACCACACCAACACCAACACCAACATCAAATTTGCCAGAAAACATCTTGATGATCCCCAAGACTTTTGGGAATATTCCTTGGACTGATGAGACAAAAGTTGAATTTTATGGATGGTTTGAGTCCTGTTAGCTCTGGTGTGAAACTAACATCTCTTAAGTATCATAAAAAGAACACCATACCAACAGTTAAACATGGTGTTGGTAGTGTGATGGTCTAGGGCTGCTTTGCTGCTTCAGGACATGGACAACTGGACCGGTGAGATCACCGTTGAATGGCACAAAAAATTGAAATGAAGGTTTTGGCATGACCTTAAACAGCCTGTTCATGCTTAAAAATGTCCAATGTGGCTGAATTAAAACAATTCTGCAAAGAAGAGTGGGCAAAAATTCCTCTGCGGGGTGAAAGTTGTGAAAGGTATCGCAAATGGTTGTAGTTCTTGTTGCCAAGGGTGGAAATATGACAATTATAAGAAAGATTCCAGAAGGAATCAGAGGAAGAGAACCAGCACAATCTTGCAAAAGAGATTTTTTTATGGTACTTCCTGCTTAAACAAAAACCAAAAACAACAAATTGGCTAAAAACAATAATTGAATGGATATAAACTGAATTTTGTTTCCAAGGAGATAAGATTCCAGTTAAAGAATAATATGTGTTAATCCAGATAATGTCATTTTCCGTGCTGCTGAACTGGTGTGTCCAAATTGTGAGTAGATAGACTACTTTCTATAAACAACTTCCACCCACTGTGCAGTATGTTGTACATATGTCATTTGGGGTGGTGTTGCACAGGTAGTAGAGGTGGCGGTTTGATCATTAGCCCAGCCACAATAACAGACTTGTATGGTGACTCTGCCATAGTTGCTATGTGAGTTTGTATGCCTGTGTGGAAAAAGAAACCATCTGTGAATGATTTTATAGCACTTCTCTAAAGTTAAAAAGCTGTTTTTTTTTTAGATTATAGATCTGTAATAGCCATGCGGCAATGCTGCTGTCAGTGTTGATAATAAAGTGTTTAAAATCTAAGCATACTGCTCAGATTTAAGTACATAAAGGATTATAATAAGTCCCTATAACAAAGAATACTGACGTGATAATGAGGGGGTTATTTTGAATATAAGACTGTTACATTAGACCGCATTACTTTATGTTTTTTTCCTAATGAACTGGGGCTGGATAGGTATAAAAGTGTAGCACCGCGGGAGCTGCACTGCTATGATCTAAATCAAGGGTCAAGCTCTGCAATATTCACAGCATGGTCACACAGTCTGAACACTTAAAGAGGAGCGAACACTAAACAAGTGACTTGAACTCCACACCACGGGGGGCACCAATTCTGAACTTCACCATAAATACCACAGCTTGTAAGTGGCAAACTAGCATGATGTTATGTTGCATGGCTAGCGTCCCCCATAAGAAAAGGGCAGAGCTGGTTCCATGGCTGTTTGGAAAAGCAGATTATCTATTGACAGACACATCCTCTGACTGATGGTGACATGGCCTGAAGGGAGGGAGAGAATCCAGTTTAAAAAGTGCTATCTGATGGGGGAAGAGCTGGAGGCATTATTCAAGGGGCAGAAACATAATATCCAATTCTGTATTTTCCCACACAATCCTGGTGGTGCTGCCCAGCCTCATTCTCTATGCTGAATATGTTCACTTTTCATTATGCAGTCCTCCAGCCAACAGATGGCCTAAATTGCTATTCCCAATTTTCTGCATTTGGATACTCTCGTTTTCTTAGAGTCCCCCCCTCCCTTCTTATCCAGTTTTTAAATTTGCCTTCCTAATTTCTTTTTCTAAAAACCACAGCGATCCACGTGCAACAGAGGCAAACATGGCCAGATATATACAGTGGGGCAAAAAAGTATTTAGTCAGCCACCGATTGTGCAAGTTCCCCCACCTAAAATGATGACAGAGGTTAGTAATTTGCACCAGAGGTACACTTCAACTGTGAGAGACAGAATGTGAAAAAAAAATCCATGAATCCACATGGTAGGATTTGTAAAGAATTTATTCGTAAATCAGGGTGGAAAATAAGTATTTGGTCGCCTCAAACAAGGAAAATCTCTATCCATCCATCCGCTTATCAAAACTTCTTCACACAACTTTAAATTCATTGTTTCCCCATGGATTGCCAAGAGGCCAGGCCTAATTCCAAACTTACAACATGCTCTTTTCTTCTTCTTGTCCTTTCCTCATTGTTATGCAGCATTTTTCTCACAGTGGATAAAAAAAAGTCAGATTTGAGGGAGCTGCAGAGATCTGTGCAGATGTCCCACTTTTGCTGTCTGACTTCTGTTCTTTTTCACTTCTTTCAGGGCTTCGTGTTGAGTTCGTTGTGTGATCTTTGCAGGCCAGCCACTCTTGGGAGCACAGCAGCACTACATACCTCCACTTTGAATCAAATTGTCCTTTTGCACCTCGATGAACACTCATAAAAAAGCATTTAACTTTTTTTTTTCTAGCCACCTTTGTGCATCTCTACAATGCACAATGCTTCTTCTGTCCTGTGAGTCAAAGTTGTTGTGATCTAGGAAAGGGTCACACATGTCAGTCTTGAAAAAAAGCAACCAGACTTCACCTCTACAAGCGACACTTCCAGTCGGATCTCCCCAACTCTTAGAACGGCTGATTCCAAGTAGTTTTTGGAGAGCTCATGAGCACTTTTAGCAATTCTTGACTGCAAGTGTTCAAGAACAACATAAAGCACACTTTTATGTTGTTTCATCAGATATTATTTGTCTATAATTCTGAGCTATTATTGTCAAAATGTTACAACCCTTTCCTTTCCTTTGTAACTGCGATTCAAAAATGAATGGACTAACCCTCGGGTGCTCGGGATCCTTCCATTAGATTCCTTGACAGTGGCAACAAACGGTAGAATATCACTAGCCTTATCCTTTAAACAAATAAAGCACATATAAGCCTCCCTATAATGTGTGGATGTGTGATAATAGGCAAAGACACTTTTCACACCACACTTTCCACCACTCTGTGAGCACCACACAAAATGAAAGCCGTGTCAGAGTACGTACTGATAAGAACCTGATGCTGACAGGACCCCCATGCAATCTCCCCCAAACCCCTATCACCTGAGATGCTTGAGTGGGTTGGATGCATATATACTGTGACGTCCAATAACATTTCACTCGGTCCCTCCTCTCAGTACTGTCTGTATATATGACTATGTCTTTTCATATAGCACCACAAGTGGCTCAAAAGTGCAGGATTGGTATTTTCAGCATGAAAGGAGGGTTGTGTAATATATAGATGGCTTTGGCAAAAGTGCCCAGAATGAGTATTATCATTAGGCACTGCCACTGTGAATTCCTCAGACACCCCATGAAACCCACATAATTACACAGTGCTCATACCGATCTGCCATATTCTCACAGCACCCACAGCAGCACTGCATGTTCTCTCACAGCTAATTACCGAACCTCTCTGAATCAGGTGCACGTTGCCGCCCCTCCCGGCGTCTCACTTCAGGGTAATGATTGCTTTATGTTTCAGTTAGCTGACTTACTGTATAGCCGCAGCTAACTGTAACGCTCTACAGGTAGGTGCGCTGAGGGTGAAGGAGAAAGCACTTTCCTGAGTGATGAAAGACTTCTCAAACAGCTTTCCTCCTCAATTGAACTGAAGTGCGTAGGCTTTCTCCGTCTTTGAACCAAAAGACTGCATTATATACAGTAAGTGACACGTAGCTCATGATAAATAAATCTGCATTGCAACTTTGATCTTATCTTTGAAGCCTTGCCAATTATTTCTCATATAGTGAAATATCAAAGAAAATCATTGCACTTATCAAATAAACCACTGTGATCTAGAAAGCAGGTAAGCAAGCAAAAAGGTTATCTGGTGGGGAAAATTGAAGGTTTCTGAGAAAATCTACTACCTCTAAAATATATTTTCATTTTAGATTGGCTGCAAACAGACACCCCACTGGCACGATACATTTTTGTGTTTTTTCAGAAATGACTTTGACAGGTTAGGTGTTATTATTACTGATAGCAATGATTGTCAAAATACAAAAATAGGGCCACGATGCTTAAAAAGAAAGAAAGAAAAGAAGCTGGGATTGTACTTTATCGCTGACATTTAATTCAGCACAGTCAGTGAAAGTGGATCATTTTAACTCAACTGTCAACTGCTGTTTTCAAAGGTAAGATAAACTGTCAAGCTGCAAACCGCCTCAAAGAAGACGATTAGCTGCTATAAGTTAGAAAACTGGGCAGCACAGGCGATAAACATAAACAGTACTGCTAAATGTATTAATTTGAGCTTTTAAAACAGTGTTCTTTGTAATGGTGATTAATCACAAACGGGTGAAAGTTTTGAACATTTTACACTATTTTCATCTACTCCTTTGGCTCGTCTTCCACTTTCTTATCTCCAGATTTGCATGCACCTTTCATCTTAGATTATGAAAGATGATCTGAAAGTACCAGTGAAGTCTCTCTGCCATCTCATTTATTCTGATTCAGAGGCTTTGTCAAAAGCAGTTCTTCCTCTCTAAATATAGTTGAAATCATCAATGCAGAAAGCAGACTACAGATCTGAGCTATTAGTACTCGTGTATGTTACCATGAGCATGTCACTGGTCACCGAGTTGGCCAAGTCAGAAACAGAAGAGTTGGCTTCGTGGCCCTGCCCGTGGCGGCGTCCGGTCTCGTCTGGAGTCTGACCTCTGGGGCTGCTGCCTGGTTTGTTACCTGGAGTTCTGTTAAAACAGAAACAAGCACAGTGATTTTTACACATATAGCTTGTTTCCAGTGTTCCTAAGTTTATCCTCAATACATGTAGTTTACATCCTCGGGCCAAATATTAATTATTTGTTTTGAAAATTTGTATTTAAGTGTAGCTAAGAACCAATATCCTACCAGACAGGCCACAGGAAGTCAATTATCATTACCTACAGCAAGAACCAATGCAATGAAAAGAACAGTTTTATAATGGCCTATAAAGGGAGAGAATTCACTGTCAATACAGATAACACAAGAAACCAATAAAACTGGATTGAAAAAACTGTCTAATTTAAAGGGCTTACCCTGATTTGAGTCACGGTTTGTGTTATAAGTTGGTTTGCATGTGTGTGTTTCATTATTACACCATGAAAATGTAAAGATTTGTGGCCTCAAGATCCTAATAAACCAAAGTAAGGTAAGGTAAATTTCCTGGCTTACATTACCCAATTACTCTTGTTTCCTTGCTGTTCCACTTCAGATTTTCCAGGTATTTCCTTGTGCGTTTTTCCTAATCTTTCCCTTTAAGTGACCTTTTGAACTAGTTTTTGGGGTTTTTTTGCCCACCTCATGTGGCAGTCTGCTTGCATAGATTAAAGATTTGGATCTTTGAATTGTAATTCTGTCTCGTGGGTCCTTTTCCCATTACATTCGTTTCAAATAACGTCAATCTTCCTGCCAGCATACAGTGACATTAGGCAATAATATGTTTGCAGCAACTACTGGATGGAAAATTACACTGCCCCTGTAAATAACGACAAATATCAGTGGACACTTTAGTAACACCTGGCTGCTACTGTTTTGGACTCCTTTTTACATTCACAGCTGCATGAATTCTTCATTGCACAGATTCAACAAGGTGCTGCAAACAGCCCTCAGAGATTTTGGTCCATGTTGACATGATAGCATCACACAGATGCTGCAGATTTGATGGCTGCAGATCAATAATGTGAATAATTGCGCTGTGATCCAGTGACTATGGAGGAGACCTCAGCTTTGAGCTTTTTGAATGGTATGTTTTCTTGATGGAAGCAGCCTTTAGAAGATGGATACACTGTGGTCATAAGGGGATGGACACAGTCAGCAGCAATAGTCAGCTGGACCGCCATTCGATCTGTGCTCAGTTTGTACTAAGGGGTCCAAAGTGTGCCAAGAAAATATCTCCCACACCATTACATCACCACCATCAGCCCTAACCTTTGATACAAACCAGGATCCATGCTTTCATGTTATTTATTCCAAATTCTGTCACTGCCATCTGAATGTTGCAGCAGAGCGCTGTCATCACCCAGAGAACAGCTGCTCACTCTGTCAGTGCGCCCCAGGGCAGCTGTGGCTACAATGTAGCTTGCCATCGCCAGTGTGTGAATGTGTGTGTGAATGGGTGAATGACTGAATGTAGTGTAAAGCGCTTTGGGGTCCTTAGGGACTAGAAAAGCGCTATACAAATGCAGGCCATTTACCATTTTTTTTATTTTGTGTTTTTCTGAGATGGTTGTGTGGGCAAACCCCAATCTGGCACCAACAGCCATGCAACACTCAAAGTCAAAGTCCTAAATGCACTGAGTTGTGATTGGCTGAGAAAATGTTTGCATCAATCTGCAGTGAAACAGGTGTACCTAACACAATGTCTGATAACTGACAAGTGAAAACAGTCAACCACGTGCAGCAACAGACTCTCACACTGGTATATTAATAACTGTTTCCTTTTTTAAAAAAAAATCAATTTAATTGTTTCTCCTCTCTCCCCTATTTTGGGATTGGTCATGTCTCCCTGTGCTCTCTTTTTTCCCTTTTCTCTTTCCCCTAACCCCCAACTGATTGCAGCAGATGGCTGCTCCTCCCTGAGACTGGTTCTGCCGGAGGTTTCCTCCTGGTGAAAGTAAGAATTTTTTCTTCTCACCACAGCACAGTGCTTGCTCACAGGGAATCGTCTTATTGTTGTGGTTTCCTCCTGAATACCGTAGGGTTTTTACCTTGCAGTATAAAGAACCTCGAGGCAGCTGTTGTTGTGATGTTGCGCCACATAAATACCTCTGAATTGAACTGAACTGAACATATTACAGTGATCCAGATACTTTTTTGTATTTAAGTTGCTCAGGTAGCATAGGTTGTAATAAAATTGCATCAAAAAGACATTAAAGCAGTCATGGCCAATTTCTTGCAGTGGTTGACTATTAATATATATATATAAATTAAAAACGCTCCAAGATAAACATACACCAGTGCAAAACTTTGTCAGACACCACCTGTCACTTTAGACACTTTGAAGACGATCTGTACAGAAAACTATTTTTAGAAACAAATGCTGCTTTTAACGATGCTGCTAAAAAATTCTTCCCAGCTTTTTCATTATGTAACTATTTGGGATACAGAAAAATACAAACATGTGATACCAGTCTAGGCATAGTGACAAATAACACTAATAAGATGATGCAGCGAGAAAAACAAAAAATAGCGAGAGTGACAGTCAGACAGACAGAAATAGCGAGCGAGTGAGCAGGTGAGATACTAAATACAAAGGTAACAGCGCAAGTTAGATTAAAAGAAGGGAAAGATGATCCACGAGATGAGATAAATTAGAGTAAAAGCAAAGGAGATGATTTATTTTTATTGAGACAATGAACGAATGAATGTGAGACACAGTTAGACACACATTAAGCTTTAGCTCAGAGAAGGGGAGATGGGATAAAAGCTCTGAAACAAAGCAGAACAGAATTGGCGAGGAGAGTCAGACACGCTAAAAAGCAGACAGAGGAAGCAAACTGACGTGTAACACAGGAAAGCAAAATAGAAGGAGGCTGGAGAAAGAGGGGTGAGAGATAGACAGGGGTTACACAGCAAAGAGACAAGCAGAAGTAGAACGATGCTGAACAAGAAGAGGTAAAAAAAGAAAAGGATATGGTGTGGAAGAGAAAAGAATGGATTCGTCACTCCGCGTTTATTTCCTGTGATTTGCAGGTCATAGAGCCAACGATGCACCACAGCCTCAATTCAAACTGTAATGGTTTATGTTCCACAGGTCTGTCAAATGCAGATTAGTCTCACATGCATGTGATCCCTGCAGGTTAAGCTAAAAATACTCAATTGAACCTTTTAATATCGACCCTTAATACGTTAGGGAACCATGTCCCACCTTAAATAATTACATAACACCTGGATGTCTCGCTCTGCCACTGATGTGACTCTCACCGGCACAGTGTGTGGTCTGTGTTTTACACATTGTTAATATTTCACCACTAATACATCTAAAGTTTGTACAGCAGCTGATCAGCTCACAAAGCACAACTTAACACACAATTTTTTTTACAAAGCAAAGAGATGAGTTAATGGAAAACCTGACATTCTCACGAGACCTACCATATTTGAACAAGTTCCCGCAGAGCCAGGTACCTGCTGAGCTTTGAAGGACCAAACAGTGAGAATAAATGGGTCACATCGTTAACAGAGTTCATAGAGAGGACAGAGGGTACCTTGACACAGACACAAGACTTGTAATTGTGCTGTGGTGGTGGAGTAGTTAGTGCCATTGCCTAGGAGCCTAACATGGAATTGTGGGTGGGCCTAAGGGGCCCGACTGATCATACTTATCAGTGATGGGAATAACGGCGTTACAAGTAATGGCGTTACTTTTTTTCAGTAACGAGTAATCTAACTAATTACTATTTCTATCGTTACAACGCTGTTACCGTTACTAACAAGCAGAGCTGGACTGGCCATCGGGCATACCGGGCATTTGCCCGGTGGGCTGATGGTGATTTTTTGTTTTTATGGGCCGATGGGTGTTTTTTTTTTTTGTTTTGTTTTTTGTAACGGTATAAACAATGAAAGATGGTGGATTGGCCAGATGCTGGCCGATGTGTAAAAATAACTCAGTTGTTTGGTGGTGGCTATGGTGGAGCTTCCACAGAGGCCAGCAGGTGGATGAGAGAAAGGGGAGGCAGGAGGAGGAGAGACCCGAGGCGGCCTCCGGTCCGAGTGTCAGGTGAACTGAACTTCAGGTAGGAAGTTATGACCTACAGTCTATATGGGTCAGATATAAACCAAGGTTAGGTGTGGTTTATTATTTGTGCTAACTTTTTACAGTCAGTTACAATAACTCGTACTGTGTACTAGCTAGCATGACGGAGTTTCTATACAGCTGGGTGGGTGCTATGATGTTACTGATAGTGAACTTATTCATAAGGTGAGTTAGTATAGTTGCCAACTGTCCCGTAAAAAACGGAATTGTCCCGTATTCAGAGAAATAAAGTAGTCGTGGTAAGCCAATCACATGACTTTAAGATGACAAAGCAACAAGGTGATATATACCAGTTTTTAAACTGTGCTGATAGGCCATGTCATAGTCATGATAAACAATATATATATACGCGTGTTTCTTCCTGAATAGTTTCATGTTTACTGTCTAAGGACAGCGCTAGCAAGCACTCTCTGCTTATGAACAAAAATTTAAAAAACAAAACAAAAAACAGCCCGTTCGTTTTGGTGGAAAAATGCACCATGACGGCCAAAAGGATGATACCAAACAAGGCAAAGTAAATACTTTTTAAAGATGTAATGTGGAGGGAAAATCAAAAGTAGTGAAAAATGGCCAATTATACCCTGGACCCCAGAGGGTTAAATGTTTTTTTAAAGTAACGCAATAGTTACTTTTCAAGTAATTAATTACTTTTAGAATTGTAACTCAGTTACTAACTCAGTTACTTTTTTGAAGAAGTAACTACTAACTATAATTAATTACTTTTTCAAAGTAACCCAACACTGATACTTATACTTTGTATGTTTTCCATGTGCCGGCACGGGTTTCCTGCAGGTATTATGGCCTCCTCCCGCAGTGCAAACAGGCAAACATAGCAAAAATGATTCATGAATGGTTTGTGGAGCACAACGAGTTTTAAATGTTGACATGAATTCACTCCAATCTAGCATCTGTGGGATGATGTGGGCAAACAAGGGGCCCCACCTCGCAACTTACAGG